GATGTCCAACTGTCACAGTTTGACATTTCGGACCAGTCCCTGCATTGCTCAGCCCACCTTTCCTTCCTGCTTTCTAGCCTACCTCTTACCTCTCTAAACTCTCTGACCCTCCCTCTCTATACCTAGGCTCACTGGCTTTGTTCTATATCCCGGAATCCCCTCCTGCCACAACTTGCAGTTCTATCACTTCCTTAACTTTTCTGGACTTAAAAAAATAGACTTACCATACAATAATTTTTAGAATGGTGATAGTTTCATACCAAAACTGAAAAGAAGATGCATAGCTTTTTCATGTATTTCTTGCTCCCCACAGCTTTTCTCATTATCAACCTCCCTCACCAGAGCCATTTGTAACAATCGATGAACCTACACTGACCCATCATAATCACCCAGAATCCAGTTTACATTTGAGTTTAGTGTTGGTATTGTCCATTTTGTAGGTTTGGATAAATACATAATGACAAGTGTTCACCATATGGGATTTTTTAAAATCCCAAGTGATCCTGAGCTCCTTTCCAGCCTACGTATTCTACTTGACAAATTCTAAGGTATTACCTTGTTTGTGATCTCTCTTTTATCACTTTGGTTTACTAATTAAATCATGCTTGGTTCAAACAGCATTATTTGGGATGTGCTTCAGGGCAGGGTCTGTCTACCTCGGGGCCCTCCAGTTGTCACCTCTGGTAAGTGTCAAGAAGTAGTTGCTAATTTGATTTTACTCCGTCCTTACCCCGATCTTTACCTCTCAGCTCCTGTTTGTTGTTTCTTCTATTCATAGTTTTGTCACACTTGGGTCACACAGATTTTAATCCTTTTTGTTTCTACATTATACTATATAGATGGATTCTCCAATATGGCGATATGGTGACCACTAGCCCCAGGTGGCTATTTACTTTTAAATAAGTTAAAATGGAATGAAATTAAAAATTTAGTTTCTCAGTAGGACTAACCACATTTCACGAGCTCAGTCGCCATGTGTGGCTAACAGCTACCATATTGGTCAGCACTGATTATAGAGCAACCCCATCACTGCAGAAAGTTCTACTGGGTAACACTACCATATATTTAAAGAGCAACAGATGTCATGATTTTTAAAGGTAAAAAACAAGCCAAAGTTTCCATATTCATTGCCCTATACAATGAATTTGAATATATTCACTTTCTTAATGTTCCATAGTCAATATATTGCCTTACAGCAATTTTTTGTCCTGTTAGGGAGTGAACCACTCATTTTTCTAATCCTTCTTATTTGCCAACTAAACAAAGAGTGTTAAAACCTAAACAGTGTTTATGCAGTTCATACTTTGGAACAGATGAAAACTGTCTCCTCAAAAAGGGGAGATCAAATAAGAGCAGAGATTATGGACAGTATCTTTTGTTTTTTAGGTCGAAGAAGGAAGTTCTAGACATGTTTATGATCAACTTGTAACTATTTGACTTCTGCTTTAACAGAAGGGTATAAAGTTCTTTCTTTCAAAAGGAAAATGTAATTCAAGTTTAAAACTATACCAAACAGAAACAGCTGTGGCCATATGTTGCTTAAAATTATTTTCTAAATAATAACACTAAGATTAAACTTTATGTTAAAAAGAACCCCACAACGGAGGTCACCATGGGCTTTCTCCTTGCAGAAATGCCATAAAAGAGCCCACTGATGTGGGGAATGTCAGAACATTAAATTTTAAAGTGAGTGGTAGCTTGCAGTTGTTGGTGCAAAGCAGTCAGTGCATCAGCACTAACAAGTACTCTTATCGACATGAGTGTCAGCCTGAAGTAATTTCCCTTATTATAGTGGGGGGCAATCGGTATAGTTCTAAAAACTACCTGGCAGTCTCTTCACATTTGATGTCTTAAGAGTTAATGGATTGAGGTCATCTTTTGTATTTTTTTTCTTGAAAAAAATTAAAGTCAGTTTCCTCAGGCTTTGTAATGGATGTACTGCTTGTATCAACTGGCTTTAAAAACCAATAGTAACATTTGTTCAAATAGAATGGATTCTTAATCTTTATCGGTTCAGCTCAAGTCTTCAAAATGCTTCTCCCCCACCTCTACGAGTCATGTATAAATAAGCAGTTGAGCAAAAAGTAAAAAGGACTCATGGACATGGACAACTGTGTGGTGATTGCCGGGAGGAGGGGAATCTAAAGGGTCTAAATGGTCATGGAAAAATACAATAAAGATTAAATTAACAAAGTAAATGAACACACAAACAAATAAAACAAGCAGGTTTTAATTTATCAGAAAAAAAGTACATGATACAACGTCATTTTACCCATTACTTTGCACATTAGTGGCTCCTGTAGCCATTTTTATTTTCTGTAGTTTAGGCAGAGGCTTTGTGAGGTCCAACAGACCTAAGGATTACATCATATGTGGTTACTTAATGGATGATAATTTGTAGGATTTGCACAGCAAGATCTTCACATGAATATTCAAGTCCAGCTTTTTTTTTTTTAATTACCAGGACAGGGACCTTGTATTTTCAGACATATGTAAGCCTATTTGTGCAGTATGTAAATTGGTTTCTCATAGGGTTTTCAAATCAGCATTGAGCAAATGATTTTCCAGTAAAAATGCTGGGAGGAAAACAGACTCATGGAGATCTGATTTCACATGAAAACAGCTAAAATAAATCAGAATTAGCAAAGAAAACATACCCATAACACCTAGCTCTGTTAGGGCAGGGCCTTCTTTTCAACAAGTAATATTTAATAAGCAGTCAAGTTTGCTGAGACAAAATAGCATTTGTTCAGTTTTAATCACAGTGATTTTGCAGTTTATGAACACGTAATCTCAAAGTTAATTTATGAGTTAGTTGTTTCAAAGTCAGAACTTACTTTCTCATGTTATTGACTGTGGCTGTATTCCCAGATTAGCCAGGAAAATCCTGTTCATTCCATAGTATAGCAGAACTATATTCCCAGCTGTTGTCCAGTGACCCAGATTCTTCTAAGTGCACAGTTCTTTTAGCTGTAAAGCCAGGAGTGGGCAGGCGAGTGGGAACTGAGATGAGGCAGCAGTCTGGAAGCCAGGCAGCTCTCCAAGCATTCATAGAACCAGAACTTTGAAACAGACAAGTGGGAAGGTGGGATGGTATAAAGCCCCATGATGGGGCTCTCCTGGTGGCAGTGACTTTCAGGGCAGGGAGGGCCAGCTGTGGGGCATCCATCTGTAGTGAGTGGGGAGGACCTTGAGTGCAGAAGTGGCCCTGGACAGAAAGCGATCGGGAGCCATTGTTATAGGCTAGGTAGGAGCTGGCAGAAGAAATGCAGGTAGAACTGCAGTGATGTTTAACAGTTTCACATCATCTCTAAGTCAGATATCCTGCAGCAGAGCCCTTTTATAACAAGGTTGACTTTCTCTACTGACCCATGATAGCCTGGGGTTAGCAATCTCTATGTGGTGTCAGGATTCTGGCGTACCCCGATTATGAGGATGCTTTATGCTACTTTTACAAGGTACATTCAGACAAATAAGTGAATTTAACATCTTTGGGCCTCAATTTCTCAATTTAAAAAAACTGGCAATAATACTTATTCTCTTCGATGTACCTCAGGGGAATTCTGTGAAGATCTAAAAAGTGATATTTTTAAAATATTTAAAATAATATATGTAGCTTATGTTAACACCAACTTATTTCAGGAGATATTATATGACATTTAGGCAATAAATGTGGGAAGATACCAGTTTACTAACTGTTCTAATGTTTATAACTGCTAATTAGTTCTTGTGATGTTTCAAATTACCAAAAATGGGATAAACCGGATTCATGTGGTCCATGTATTTTAAGAGAGAGTTTTGTTTCAACTGTCAATTCCAAAGTTCGTATCTGGTGTATATACAAATGTGTACAGAAAGAATACAGAAGCAAGGGCAAATTGCTGGAATAACTTTGAGCAAAGAACTCTGAGTTCTGATCTGCACTTGCCTGTTAATTAAGAAGAACGGAAACACATGCTATGAACTCTTTGCCAAAGCTTCTACAAGAGCGAAACAAATTCGTGCGTCAAGGTGAACAACTGGAGGTAAAACCCCCTGTCATCCTGGTACCCACTTTTCACTATGGCCTCCCTGGTGTCTCATAGGCTGGTGAGACATAGGCTGGTGTTGCCAGCAACAGGGGCGAGGGCATGGGCCGGCCGGGCCCCTGTCTGGAGTGTGAGCCAGGTGACACGCTGCTTCTGGCCGCGGTTCACTTGCAGGTCTCGCACAGTCCGGGCTTGTCAGCTGAGGAACGTCAGGCAGTGCAGGGACTTGTAATTAGGCGGCCGCAGGCTGCGGTCCTCTCTGAGCGGCTTTGTTTCCTCTGCTTGCCCACTGGGCATCCTGCCTCCACTGAGCGTCTACCAGAGGCCCGGCGCAGGCGGAGCGGGGGGTACGGAGGTATGTGGAGGAAGGAAAACAGGTATGAGTCTTCAAGTCCAGGCAGGACGCCCCATTAGTCATGTTATCGTAAAGTGGGCAGCACCCGCCTCTCTGAGCAACAGGTAAATAAAGAGCTCAGTGTCTAAGGGGTTTTTGCCCAGAGTGGTGAGCTGTGTCATTCTATTTCCAAAACAAATGCTCCTGTAGGTCTTGCTTTAATGATTTCCTTGCGTGAAGTGAGCACTTGAGGCAGAGTGTTTAGACAGGTCCGTTGTGGTATACACTGGCTTTTGCAAGGCACAGGCTTCTGGGGAAAGAGGGGGCCTCTCCACAGGTCTCTTCTCTCCATTGCCCCTCCTCCCTCCTCTGCCCTCACTTCGCCTGGAAAGAGCATCCCTCCAAAGCCGTGGTGGGACGGTGTGATGGATGCTAGTATCTACACATCTTCCCCCTGCATCCAACACTTGGAAGTGTGAGAGAGAAACGAAGAAAATGACCTTATTCGTTAGAAAATTAAAGCCAAATCTATGTCAAATGTAAATGATCAAGCATATTTTTATAATCAGTTTTTTTAATCCTTACCTAAGGGTATATCACTACTGATTATTTTAGAGAGAAAGGAAAGCAGAGAAAGAGAGACATCGATGTGAAAGAGAAACTTCGATGGCTTCCTATATGTACCTGGACTGCAACCTAGGTATGTACTCTGACCAGGAATTGAACACACAACCTCTCGGTGCAGGGGATAATGCTCCAGCCAGCTGAGCCATAATCTAGTTTAATTGACAACTGTATGATTACCAGAGGACACTGGACATGTATTTAGCTTTATTTACATTGGATGCTTTTGTTTTTCTAGGTAATAGTAGAAAAGATGCTATGTCAGAGCATTTCCACAGAGCTCTTTGAGGCCATGGGGCTCTGAGAGGCAGCTCCATGAAATACATACTTGAGTTATTGTGAGCAACATGGGGCCTGATGATTTTGCTAAACTTCCTGCAACAGATATGGACTGGGTAGGGTCATGAACTGCAGGCTTGTCAGAGAAGGAGATGCTAAGGTTCCGACTGTTTGATAAAGCAGGAATCTATATTATGAAACAGACCATTTTCTTACCTCATAAATGTTTAGTTTCTCATGGGGGCAAATGAAAACACAATGTTTGCAAATGTCAGCTGACATGGTGGCCATTTCTCTTAGTCTTTTTAGGGCATGCAGCGAGTGTGAACTGATGGGCAGGTGGAGAGGGCTGCATGCATTTAGAAATGTGCTTGCTTTTTATTGCTTTCTTTATAGCTGTTGCTCTCTGGCTAAAGTCCCTCTACACTGAAGACAGATAAAGAAGGAATTAAAAACTCACAAAGAGACACAAAGATTGATGTCAGTTGGAATTTGCTTTATCTGATAGACCTAATTTCTGTCTGTTTTCTTGCAGCTCAGAGTCCAAGTCTAATCAGAGATCTTCATGAAGGTGTGGGAGAAACCTCTCTCTTTTCTGATATGTATTTGATAAAGATAATATACTTAAGAAATATGTCCACCTCCCTTATGCTCCACAAGCTCTTTAACAAATTTTCTCTTATTTTTGATTATATAAAAACAGTGAGAGGCTAGTGGTAAAAATATTTTATTAAAGCACATTGCATATATACACTATTATATATTCATTATCTATAAGATTTGCTTTAAAGTAATGATATTCTATATACTAATATTTCTATCGCTGACCTCTCTCACCGTTTTACTGTATTTCTGGGACTCTGAGCACCATTTTTTTCCCTTAGTGACTAAGAGACCTTTGAAATGTACATGACTTCATTACCATCTCAATGCAGATAATTTACAAATTTTCATTTCTGGTTTCACAGATGTTCCCTGCTCTCATCTATCTTCTTAGAGGCAATTTTGATATCTGTAATGGCCATGTTCAATTTTAATTTCTAAATGTTCAAAACTGAGTTCTGGGGATCCTGGTCCAGAAAGAGCACATTGACTCATTTCTGCTCATGTCTACAAGTTCAGCTATGAGTATAACACTGGGAACAATACAAAGACAATCACAGGAGGACACTGAAGTCGAAAGGGGAAAGCGGAGTGGTCTGAGCCCCAGGATACCAAACACCCTACACAAGAAATGAAGATCAAGGTGTGCTCATCCTTCCCTGAAGATACAGGTCAGCCCGAATCACCTACAGGGATGTCAGTGCCGAGCTCTTCTAATACCAAGAGGCCGGAAGAGGAGATTTCCTTCCTTCTGAACCTGAGACTGCATCCCCGACAACAACAGGGTGTCGCCACAGAATAGTGATCCCCTTTTCCCATCTAGAGGCAGCGTGGGGCCAGGTGGACCCACTACAACAGGCACCTAGACACAGAAGCTCATTTCAAGCCCAAAGGCAAGAATTCTTCTGCACACACAAGGCAGCTGGGCAGCCAGCGAGCCACCATTTCAGCCACAAGGAGCAATCGCTCACCCAGGGAAATGCTGTCAGCCATGCTGAACCTGAGACTCCCCGCCCTCCTTAGGGTCAGGGGACAACCAAGAAGCAGTGGTGGAGCTATAATATCACAATAACTTCTTGGAAAAGATTCTTTGTCCCAGAAGGCAGGAGACCCCTTCCCTGTTCAGAGGACCTCATGCTTCCTGGTCTCCTGGGCACCCTCAGCTAGGGTCAGCAGGGGTCATTGTGCCACTGGTGGCCACAGACAGATAATGAGACCAATGTAACCTCACAAGGACTCTGAACTTAAATCGTCATTGGAGCCACTGCCTAAAGAATTACCCAGGACCTGTCAGTCAGCCTAGACAGGGTGACTGCCTGTTCAAATAGAGAATTAAAAAAAAAGGCTCCTAATAGACAGAAAAATATATAATGCAATAAAAATTAACTTGTCACACAAAGAACCAAGAAAAAAATTACAGACTAAATGAGAAAATATGATAAAAATTATTAAACCTTTGAAATTAGCACATAAGGTAAAGATAGTGGGAATTGGGCGATCTGTAATTATACTTATCAAATAAATTATTTGCTTCAGTTTTTAGTACACATTAACCTTGAAAGAAAGGCAGAAGATCACCTTAAGGAGCAATTTTTTTGGTGAAGGCCCAACTTACTGTCAGCTTTTCTATTAGGCATTAGTTCTTAACCTAGAAGAATATAATTAAACTTCTTTAAGCTAAAGAATATTTTAACTCTTTAAGGTGACTCCATGAGTTTCCATCACTGTGTCTCCTCCAAAATGACTATTTCATATACAAGTTGAAATAAGTAAAGCAACAGATTCAGATTCAGGTGTTTGGATCCATTCTTTACGTTTGTCCTTCCACCGCAGTATTACAATGCCTGCTAAAGAGAAACCTAATGACAGAGACTAAGGTGCTTTTTCAGAAGTCACTTCCTACTATTAGTATTTGAAAATCAATGATGTGTTTTGAAACCATAAATCAATAATTAACCCCAAGATAATCTTTTGATATTTGTCATTGGGCATAAAATTATTTTATATATCAAGCATTCACCTTGTGACCTGGCTTTGGGATCTATGAATACCCAGGACAGGGCCTGATCCCAACACTACAAGTTGGAAACATAGTTGACAAGACAGCCATTGAGGATGCATCCCAACACAATTGGATCTTGAAGAGGATGGAAAATTAGTCAAAATTCCCACAAGTTTCAAAAAAAAATGGTACTCCCCAACCCCCTTTTACAAATGAGGAAACTATAGGTTGGTGATAAGTAACTGGCCTAATGTTGCACAGTGATATAAAGGACAAAGAAGATTTCTACAAAGCTTGGCCTCAAAAGTATTTGTTCTTAGCACTCTACCCTACTGGTTCCAATAAAGGAAGCTATGCAATGCAGATGATTGGGGAATGGCCAAGAAAGGAGACAAGTAAGCACAACTAACCATCCTGCATGCACTGACCTTCTTTTCTCTAAGGAGGGCAGTCTCAGCAGGGAAGATGGTTCTTAAGACCATTGAACTAGAACTGGATTTTTGGCATGACTGCTTGGAAGTCAGACAATTATTCATTCCTTAGAATCTCACCCACAAGTGAAGTGTCCTAGGATGTCTCCTCTTTAGTGCTGCCACCCCTGAACTCACTCCCACCTGTCCTCAACCTCCGTCTTTTTTTAAACTTCTGTGGATGTAGCCTGGACTGCTCTTGGGGCACTTATCAACCTTGACTTTGTGTTGCGGTTATTCTATTGCTTCTGTAACTCAGGATGTAGGTGTTGGAGTCCAAGAGACCTAGGGATGAATTTGAGCTTTGCCATTTAGTTGGTGTGTAACTTTGCACAACTTAGTCGAATACTTAAGATCTTGATGTTCTAGTGTAAAGTGGGCATAATATTATCTATACACTTGGATTGTTTTATAGGTTAAATGTGATAGGTAATACACATAAGCACTGAACACAGAGCTAACACGCAGTAAGCTCTCGACAACAGTTCTGTAAACTTTAATAAGTATTAATATTATTGATCTTATTCTACAACACATTCTGATCGAAGCCAGCCTAATTTAAGACCTATCTAGGGGTTGGACAGAATAGGGGAGAGCAACAGGCATCATGGGGTGGGGTGGGAAGGGAGCTTACTGTACCTGAACAACAATAAAAATTAAATAAATTTTAAAAAGACCTATCTGCACCAATTCCATTTAGTAAGAGAAAATAAACCTGAATCATACTATTTCATTTAATGATATCACATGTAAAAATCACCAGTGAAACTAATTCTTGTTTTCATTTGTACATTCACTCTATTCTCTATAAGATACAGCAATATGTCCTGGAAAATACAGTTTTTCATTTAGGTAGAAACCTCCAAAATGAAATCAAAGATTTAAATTTTAGATACATACACATTCTCTTTTCATCTACTAGTTTCAGACAAAATGCTCGCAAATGAGCACTAGAATAGGCCATTTTGCAGCTAGGTTCATCAAATACTATTTTAATCCACAGGAAGTTTTATAATGCTTTACTTAGAATTTCCTGTATTTCCAGATAAACATATGGGATTAGCATGTGGTGTGCTTCTATCAGACAAGAGAACCTTGAAAGTGTAGGTTTTGAAGGAGAATTATGCTGCTCCCAAATAAAATCAGAGCTGTGTGACTGAAGAACATGGGTGTTGGGGGCAGCCCACATTCACTGCTGCAGTGTCAGGAAGTGACCAAGCCAGGTGATAAAGGACAATTTTGACCTGGTGAAATGAGGAGGGACCCCTCAAAAAATAGAATGATCTTCTAGAGGGTTGGGTTCCCTGTATTTCAGGCTTCCTCCACTGGGTAAGTGTTTTAGGAACCCATCTGTACCATTGTACCAGCTGGCATTGTGAGAGGCTGTGTTTGGTTGCAGTAAATTCTTTTTTGAAGACTCTTTCAACACCCATTTTGTGATGGGTGATTTACGAGTGCACCTGCCCACACCATGCTGAGTGTTCATCAGTTTTAGACCAAAAATGTGATGACTTCCATGCCTCACCTTCCCTATTCACCTGATCTCACCCTTAGTGGCATTTTTTGTTTGTTCATTTCCATGAATGACAAAAAGTCCTCAAAGGGAAATGTTTTGCAGATGTGGAAGAAGAAAAATAAAAACAGCAGAAACACTAAAAGGCATCAAAATTGATAAGTTTAAAAACTTTTTTGAGCAGTGAAAAATGTCTTGATAGGTGTATTGCATCAAATGGACAGTGCTTTGAAGTTGACTGAATTTTAAACATGTAAGAATAATACACAATTTTTAATGAATAAATTTCAGGGGATTTTTGCATAGCCCTTGTAAGTTGCTAAGCACAAGAGAAGAGTTACATACCATATGAATCAATGCTTATAACATTATTGAAGTGACAAAATTGTAAAGGATTCAATGAATTTTGCTTAATGAATTTCAGGTTGTATTGTTTAATGCATCACACATTAGATCATTATATGACTCAGTGGATCAATACTTTTGCTAGTATATTAGTTTTCTAGAGCTTCATAACAAATGCCCACAAACTGGGTGGCTTAAAAGAACAGAAGTTTATTCTTTCAAAGTCTAGAAGTTAGTCCAAAATCAAAGTGTTGCTGGGGCCATGCTCCCTCTGAAGGCTTTCAGAAAGAGTCCTTTCCCACTTCCCTCCTAGCTTCCAGTGGTTGCCAGCAATACCTCGAGAGGTTGTTAGTGGTTAGAATTCCTTGACTTGTGCATTCATCATTCCAATCCCTGACTCTGTTTTCACATAGCATTCTCCCCGTGTGTCCCTCTGTTGTCCGAATTTCCCTCTTCTTTTTTCTTCACAAGAACACCATTTATATGAATCAGCTCTTACCTGATCTAGAAAGACCACATCTTAACTCATTACATCTGCAAAAATCCATATTCCCGAATAAGGACACATTCATAGGCACCAGGCATCAGGATTTGAACATATCTTTATGGAGGTCACGATTCATCCTACAATAAGCCTCTAGTAATTTTTTTGCCCAGACTTATATTGCATTAGATGTTAATATAGACATTCTTGCTTTTTTCTTATATTATTAACATTGCAGAGCATATCTTTTCCCATCCTTTAACTTTTAACCATCTACGTCATTGCATTTAAATGAATTTCAAATACATTTCAAAAGGGGACTTATAACAATAAAAGTTTATTTATCATTCATAGGACATTTTGGATGTGTGGTGGTTATGGTATTTTTTCATATGTCTTCTTCATTTGGTTCCAGGCTACTAACAGAGAAGCTGTTATCTGAAATAGAGGTAGGCACAGAACTGTAAACAGCAATAGCTCTCAACTTCTGCTAGGAATCACATACCACTTCTATTTATGTCCCATTGGCCAAAGGGACATAAATCATGTGTCTGAGAAGCAACAAGGGTTTAGTTCTCATTCATGCTCACTTTGGCTCCAGATCAG